GCGGCTAATACGAACCCGGTAATACACATACACACCACATACACACACTAGCTGAGCATACACAGATACACATGGGTCGTCAAAAGAACTCTCGCAAGATCCAAGTGGAAACACATTGCAATCAGTTCGGGTTCGCGCGGGTACAAGCAATACCCACCCACAGGGCAGTGGAAAACAAAATGGTGGGGAGAATGATCGGTCCCCGTTGTGATGTGACCAGTACAACTGTGGAAGTGGGAGGGAATGAGGCGGGAGTAGTGCAGCATATGCAGCACAAACGATACAAGACAAATGACGGAGTTCAGCCGCGCTGAGTCATGCTCATGATGATTACACAGGGATGGAGTAGGCAAAAAAATGGGACATCGAGCATCTCTGAGTTGGCCAACAGCAGCAGGGTAGATGTATCATGGAAAAAACACGCGTCATCAACCGCACAGTAACAGCACGACGATGAGCAGATGGACAGGGAGCGAGCAGCAGAATCTGAAAGAAGAGGAAGAAAATGATCTGATCGAAAGGGCAGGTTGCTGGTCTTCGCTGAGAGATGTAGAAGTCCCGTACTGTGAGAACGGACCCGACACCATGTGGCCAAAAAAGGTATTATTGCTTGAGCTACCAAATTACGGCAAATAAGACAAAGACATACGGTGCCTATAATTTTGTATATACTCAACTCGATACTCAGACTGGAAACAAAAGCGAAAATCAAGGTTTACAAATAAGATCTGAATAGTTGCTTGGGGGGGAGAAGGGGGCTCGAATCTTTATCGATCTGACACATCCAAGGCACCAGGTAGCACGAGGTTCGTCGACTTAACTTCCAATGCTATATGAGGGGAACACGTTCTGTCGACTACGATAAAGAATACTAAGTTTACCTTCTGTGATGTAACTCTGGGCTAACAGCCTGAAATTCGGTGAAACGGCCATGAAAGCGGCGATGGAAGTTTTCATCGAGAAAAAAAAACAGCGCACATGCAGATGACCTCTCCTCCAGTTTATTTGTTATCACCAGCAAACCATATGCAAACTTGGGCTTCCCGGTCATTGATTGTGGGATCAAATGATTTACTCTGGTGTCCCTCACTCAGCCCATTGGTTACAATTTTAGCGGCGCTTACTAGTCCACTCTGATTACGGAGCAGAACTCCGGGTCGTCCTGGTTTGCTGGTGACCGTAAGTAAGCCAGAAAAGACGGTCGGTTATAACTCAGCCGTCGGTCGATCCATCATCACTGGCTCTGTTTGCATGACCGTACCCTGCAAACTCCAGCACGCAACCGGATATATTTCCGATTAATGGAACCATCCTAACATGTTATTATTTCGCACGTTAATATTGTAAATTCTACCAAGTAATTACTTGTATCTGGAAGCATATATACAGAATTCAGCTCAAGTTTCACGAATTTCTAGAAAATTAACGAATGAACGTGAAAGCAACGAAGTGAAGTGAAATCTGAACATCAGGGAAACTCTAGGTTAGCGTCTCTGGTGTTATTGGTAGGTCGCTTTTAAGTGGCTTCGCTCTCCGCCTACGCGACAAGTGAAGACACTAATTATGACTGTGTTGTGCTCTCATTGACGAAAAACAGGGCCTGGAAGGCAAACAGAGGGAGAAGGAGGCGGTACACTCACAGTTTATTTTCGGGGCTTTTGTTTCTTGCCCTTCCAATGATTGACGTCACCACTGAATTCACCCTTATAGCGGGAAGCATTCTTTAAGCCCAACTGCTCTTCTTCGTCTTCTTCCTCCTCGGACTCTTCTTCGGAGGAGGAAGAAGAATCTGAGGAGCCGGGCATGTCGGAATCTCCGTCTTCTGCATCCATGTCGGGCATGGCCGCGTTGGCGTCAAAAGCGATGTCATTGTTCTCCTCCAAGTTCACAGTTTCGGGTATCTCACCTAAAATGCAGACCAATGCAACAGTGTACGAATTGGATGGGTCGGATTACGAAAAAGGTGAGTGCACTTTCACAAGCAAAAACTACGCAAATTACTAACAGAAAGGAAGGGACAGAGATGCTTTCCTCACAATCACTTACCCAGGGATTTTAGGGTACGTGCCTCGTCGTTTAGGTACTTTAGGATAACATCAGCTTTGCTGTCCTGGAAATCGCGCAGGCCAATAAGAATAATGTCGCCACTGTTGATCCAAACCTGAGATAAGCAAGGGAAGGCGAAAATTAGAAATTTGCGTTTGGAAAAACGAAAAGAAGATACGCGTGACGCTTAGAGACGACTGTGCAAGCAAAAAATTAACCCAGTGTAGGACTGTGGTCCATGTGGATGATGAGCGTCTGGGTTTGTCGTCTCTAAGTGGGTTTTGGCCGAAGGTTTGAACTTCTTCACACTCGAGAATCTGACGCTCTGGACTTTTACTGAATCTATGGTAAGTAAACAACTTTCTGTCATTTGACGTTTGCATATGATTATTAACTTCCAGAATGATAGTTTAGACTGTATGCTCACCCTGTTAACTTGCTCAGACTACAGGGATTCTACCGAAGTTTGGCAATCCCGAAGGTGATACATTTGAAAGTACTTATTTATTTGGTGACCGCGTTGGTCATAAAGCCGTATAAGAGAAAAAAACGTGGTACGGAGCATAACTGAAATTTACTTCTATCGATGTGGTACACAAACTTAATCCTCAGGCCGTATGGGTATACGACCAAGATTCAATGCTCGAATTATTCTGGGCTTAGTAGGAGCTGCACAGCTTGGAAATGTACGCGCTAGTGTGGGATGACAGTATTAGGAGTTGGTTATGCTAGTAGCGTTCTCGCAGGCCGTATGAACAACAATTAACAAGGCGTTCGGATGGTGTTATAGGTTGTCAAATTGACGGGATACTTGTACTTTCTTACTTGTTACGGCTGTGATCATGCCTGATCTAGCCGGCCTCAATGATGTC